TTCTATATCTGATGCACAAGTTAGGAAGAATTAGAATATATGGGTATTGGAAACGGGAAGAAAGCTGGACGTATAGTGAACTGAATAGTCTTAAATTTCTAGTCGAATTTCCTGTGGCGGAGCTATCATATTAGTAAAATATATAGATATATCAAAATATTGGATACTGATCGCTTGTCGCCAAGGCAGCAGAGTGGAGCCTTTAAAATGATTTCCTAACGAAGGAAGGCAAAATTCGATAGACTAAACTGAAATAAAAGACAACTAAGTTATGGGCTTTTTAAGGTGTTGACCAACCGACAAAGGTATAATGTTTAAGGGTTGATAATCTACCGGTAGAACCACTAGTGTACATCACAACGGCAAGATCTTCTTGAGTTGGCCTCTCTGCACTTGGAGGCATCCAAAACAAGGACGGTTCCGAGGATTCAGCAGCTATCACTTGTCTGCCTAACTCCTCGATCTGGATGATATCATGCAGCTGCAGCTCTCCGCCTGCCTGCAGTTGGGGGAGAAGTGCACGCGCGTTTTCAATGCTAACTCGAGCTGTGTCACTAAATCTTTCATGCGAGCTGCGCTCAGAAACGGCCGCCCCAGCTGTCCCGTTGCCGGTTTCCTTAACCAATTTAGATTCACTCACTGTTGCAATTGAAACAGGTCGATTCAAGTAAACACCATTGCTGAAGTATATGACGTGACGGATGGAGTGGCACTTTTTTGCGAGCGGCATGATTTTTCCTACTAATTCGTCACTGGTGAAGACGGCTACAGACTATATGAATAAACAAAGAAAACTAGTTGGTATATCGCATAAAATATATTGATATTGAAAACAAATAGAAAAATTTGTAAGAAAAGTAGTGAAGGTTAGATTTAAATTCGTTTTCAGAAGCTCAAATAAAGGTAACAAGCTTTGAGTGATTAGATCGGACATATCCTTATTTTATGATTTTTAAGTCATTTCATAGGAATAAATGCGAAAAATTTCTTTAGATGAAAAAAA